CTGATGTGGCAAAATTTTCACAAAGTCGCCATGTTTATGTTTTGATTGTGGCCTTCATTAGCTTTGTATGAAAATTGCCTCATTCGGATCATGTGATGTTTACACGTACATGTGAATATGCATGGTTATCCATAAGGACAAAATGTGTTAGAGGCTGTTCATATGGAGTCGGGCTGGTGCGGTTAACCTTGATGATTCGTTTAATACAGCTCTCATCGCGGCTTTGATAAACTTCCAAAAGTTCATTCAGACGATCTTTTATGGTCAGGACAAAAATGTTCGTCACGATTCATCCCGGCTTGCCTGGCTCATATGAACAGCCCCTTAAGAGTTAAACATGCATATATTTTATCAATAATTTATAAGATTTCCTTCACTGGTGTGTTGAAAGACTGAGCGGAATCATAAAGAATTCCGACGTGGCTGAATGTGACTTTGTGTATACAGGATTTATTATGGGTAATATTTTCCACAATACCGCCAATACATAGTTCTAACTATCCAGCCCTTACACCAGCAAAGCAACGCACACCTATATTTACTTGTCTTGCCGCTACTAACATACCTTTATCCGCTCGTTAGATTGAAAAGATTCATATCGCTGTTCCTAAGAATGCAGTGGGTGCTATCATCGGCCGTGAAGGTTCTGTCGTGAATGGCATAAGACATGCTTCAGGTGCTTCAGTTCAAGTTTTGAAAAGTGAGGAGGATGCGGTTGAGACTATGGTGGAACTACGTGGTTATCCTCACCAGCTTACTATGGTTTGTTTTTGTACTGTAGATTCGATTTAGGTAGACATATAAGAAAATTGGGAAAAAAAGAATTTTCTGAGTTGGCGGCATCAGTAAATGCCATCTGGTCTAAACCTATCAATACTGCATGGGCATGTGGCTCTCTCCTCCGCAGAGGCTTTAGTTTTCTTAGGATTTAATATTACGATGAGATACATTTCACTACACTTTACATGGCGGATCTTGGAACACGAGCGTAGCCGCTGGGCGAAGGAGCGCAGGCGGCAAAGGGAAAGGCGAAGGAAGGCGCGAAGCCTCTGCACGATTTGCATCGCAAAGTGGGACAAAGTGGGACAAAGTGGGACAAAGTGTAAACATCGAAACAAAAGGTGATTTTTAAGCTAAACAAGAAACGTCTTTTTGAAAATTAAATCATTATTTAATGCATGATTGATTGACCTCATTGACTAGTGCTTGCATGTTTGTGGATGGTCAAAAGTAATATTTTTAACATTTAATACACAAAGCAAACAATCGTATATTTTACTCACCGCTTGGCCAAACATTCTGTATTTCGTATCGAGAAAAACTTGAATATTTCTTGAACTCTTCGGAATTCGCCACCAGTCAAAGAAGTAAAATACTCCTTGTATTCAAGCGCTTTCGTGTAGAAAATTTCTTTTGAATACGGCCAGTAGAAATATTTATTTTTAATTTTTCAAAATATCGGGTTTTTACTCGCACAGTCGCACGCGCCTGTCACACGCTGATGTTCGGGAATTAGTTCACAATCAGACCAGGAATGGACATACCATAATAAAAGATGAAGTTTTCAAGATACAAGCTCAAAAATAACACTCTAAGTAGTGTTTTGAATTCGCTTTCGAACAAGAGTAATACAAAGAGGATGCGTCCCAAGGATCCGAAGTTATGGTCGCCGAAAGGTATGCCTACTTTGCCTAGTTTATATTTTTATCAAGTGTAAACATTGCGTGATTTGATATTAATATACAAAATCCCGCTTGACTTTCAAAGGTCGTAAATCGCTATAGTGTTGACATTTCACTAAAACTATCGATAGAAACTAGGAGATATTTTTGTACTGAATCGAACGGTGGTATTTTCATCAACACAGCGTATATTGAACCAAAGATACGAACCTCCAAATAAATTAGATCGAAACCGACTGAAGGTCGCGTTTGTTCATAAATATTGCTGAAGTTGAAATAGTTGAATTGTATTTTCAGTCTTGATAATAAATTTAATAATGGTTCTGTATGCTATACATACTCATTTTTTTCTTTTATGCGGTTTTGGACACATTTCTAAAAATACAAATGTCATATATACATTTAAATAAAAGTTTCTTCGCTTGCAACCAAAACCTGTTCGCTAAAACGTTGTTTCCGTGCATTGTTTTATACTGTAGATGGAGACCTTGTGTAGAAAAAATGCAGATGTTTTCTCCCAAACTGAACATAACACTTTCTTATTTCGTAGAGCTAGTAAATAATCTCTTTGTCAGCTTGTTGCAGTTTTTGTAAAGAGATATTTTCTCAGTCATTTTGACTTGAATTTTGCGTTTGATAATTATACGCCCCCCGGTTTACCGCCATATTGGGTGTGGCATCGTGCAGAGGCTCAATTAAAGCCTCTGCGGAGGAGAGAGGGCATGTGGTCTTTGCTTTTCCACAAAATCTGATTTCTAGAAAAGAATAATGGATGTTTTGCATCTTGAAACCTTAGTATTTTATATGAACTTTCTTAACACAAATAAGTTTTTTAAATGGAACACCACACAACTGGTACCTATTTTCTAAAAAAGACATTCTTTTACACCCTTTCATTTTGCTTTTGGTCCATTCCAGGCTGAAGGAGCCATTTTCCAAAAGATACAAGAACAAGGATTTGCTGGTCATCCAAACCAAACTGTTCAGTTACGAACTGAAATTAAAATCCCGCCAGAGGCTGTTGGCCGTATCATTGGAAGAAGGGGCGCAAAGGTAATTTGCAATTCATTGCTACCTTTTTAACCAATACTGGATTAAAATCTCATTTAGCCGGAATAAGATACCAATGGTTTTTCCGGACTTTTTGAGTTTTGACTCTCAATCATGTCATCGAAAGTAAAATTCAAGTTGTTGGGTTAAATTTGTGGCGTCATTTTTCCTATGGGCAACTCAGCAAAGTAAGAAAAAACAAACACACAACATAAAAGTCGTCTCACAATACCAGAAAAACCATGAACAAGAATGTGAACACCCATGTCATGTACACGTACTATGTAAAGGCTAAAATTGTGAGTCTGGGGGCCGGGAGGGGATAGCAGATGCCCACAGACCCCATGCTGTAGAGTTTAACTCAATTTTCTGTGCAAAGACGGACACAGCAAAAAGTCCTGAAAAACTAACCACCAAAAACGGTCAACTCGTTCGGGATGGAAAAGTTGTGCTACTTAACCTTCGAATTCCAGGAACGTTGGTGGTCACCTTGGGATTATGCGCGAAGGGTTCCGTTGTTTTAGCTCGTGTTTGGCTCAGTTGTATCGGATTAATTTTTGTATCAGATGAAGATTGTGGTCGAGCCTAACAATCCTCCATATTTTTAGCATCACAGTGTTAGTTATTGTCCGCTTCCTTTATTGTTATATTCAATTTTATATCCGTACACCCCCTTTTGAGGACTTGGAAATTCCGGTGGTTGCCTGGTATATTTTTCGCTGTAAATTGCAATGTGTGGGGGAAAAAACACATAAACACTTCCAAACACCCTCCTCGACTAACTACCACAAGTAATTTTTTTTAAAATTGCAGGTTAGATCGTTGCAAGGTAGACACAGGGCCTTAGTTGAAGTTCCACGCAGTGTTAACCCAGATGAAACTGAAGTTGTTGTGCGTGTTCTCTCGGATTATCTTGGAAGTCAGGTATTGAACATTGATTGCTACGTAGAGCTCGCATACATTGCTGTTTGTGGACTAGAATGTTGCGTTGGTGTCAGTTGTTAGGGTCCGTGGTAACCGGGCACACCTGCGAATGACTTACTGTAGCTAACTGCAAACCTGGGTCGGAAGGTCCAGGGTGAACTGCCATATTATGCATGTTCCCCACCCATGCAGCCCTGCAAATAACGGCCGGTGAATGACCAACGATTTTAGGACATTGAACGCCGCTTCTTTGTTTTCAATGATCATTTTGACCGGGTAAATATTAGAGCGGCAGTGATGTTTTTGCCACTGAGCATACTGTATTGATAGTTAATGTTAAGACGAAAAATGTGGAAGTGTAAGCAGGTTAATCTAATTTCTTTCCCAGCCAATGAGATATCATGATTTACACGTGCTCATAATTTCTTTTTCACATTGGCAGCGTCACGTCGAAGGTGGAACCTG